TATATATAATCACCCCTATTTATAATCACATAATTTTTAAAAACCAAAAGTGGTGATTATAGACAGGTCTGACTGTAATAATATAATGATTTATTTATTTTAATTTATCTTTAAAGATATAATTTAATTAATTATAGTAATGATAATGATTCTGATTAAAGATGATTTCCATAATTATTTTAAATTTCAATTGAGTTGCAACTTAATTGCATCATAAGGAAATTTAATTATGCCACAAGTTGCAACTCAATTGCGCTATTTTCTTAATTATGATACTAATTTTTAATTCTGATACTCTTTTGATAATAAAGTTAATCAATTTTAAATAATTAGTTATTATAATATAAATACTGTAAACAAATAAAATGTGATAGGACTTATGTAATGCAGATAATCGATAAATCTGACAAATCTGATATATCTGACATTTCTGACATGTCTGACATGATCGACAAATAAGATATATTAGACAGATTCAACATATATGACATATCAGACATATTTGACATATACAATATATTAGATATATTATTTATATCTTTCTATATACTGTATTTTATATAAATAGATAGCCTTTTAGACTATGTAAAAAATAAAATTTGACAAGTCAGTTTTCTAGTAGTTTTAAGAAACAAACAGGCCTATTGTATTACATTTTAGTTTAATACTTCGTTTCTTTATTTTATTTTCTTTTCTTTTGTCATATCTTTTATTCTCTTTATTTCTATTTTCTTATCTTATCAATAAACATCTTACTTAAAAATATAATTACTCAATACCTCATAAATTATTAATTGTAAAATACTTATATAAACCTTTATCTGAATTTGGTCGTAATAATAAACTTGTAAAGCCTAAAGATTACTGTACAATTAAAAAGAAATAATACTCTGACACCCTGTCTAACAGTTATAGTTCGCAAGAATTACATGTTAACAATACTTAATTTTTTTAAAAAATATTAAATAAAATATTTTTTCTATAATACTTATTTTTGAACTTGAAAAATTACAATCAAAGATTTTAAAAGTTACAAAAAGATTAAGTTTTATTAGTTAAATGCTTGATTTTTTTAATAAAATCAATTAATCAGATTTTTTCTTTATAAGATTTTCTTTAAAATTGAAGAATTCTGATTAAAAACTTTAAAGAATTACAAAAGGTAAGTTTGTTAATTTGATTATTTAATAAATCAATTAATTGAATTTTTCTTTCATAAGACTTATCTTTAGATTTGATCAAAGGTTTAAAGAATTACAAAAAAAGTAAATATAAATTAATTGCTTATTTTTTTTATAATATTCAATGATTCAAAATTTAATATTAATATAATCTATCTATAGATAATTTTTTTAATTGGATTGTTTAGTTGGTTAATTTAATTATATACTAATCAAAAATAAATAAATGTTATTTTATTGTTAAGTATATTTTAGAATAATAATAATTCAGGTTTTTTTTCATTTTTATAATTAAAATTTGATATTATTATCATTACTGTTTATAATTTAATTTATCATTTATTTAAAATATAGATTAGATTTATTTATTATTAAATAAATTAACTTAATTGAAAGAATTAATATATTAGAGATATTAAAATTTTAATAAAAAATGCTCAGAATTACATTTTCCTAGTAAACCTCCAATATATCGCATATTTATTTTAAATCATACTTTTAATTGGAATTAAATTTTAATTTTTTATTATATGAGACTTTTGCAATAAAAAGGAAGGAAACTGACCAAAAAATAAATAAATAAAATATGAGTTAATGAATATATTTCAGCCTAAAAATTATATTTTCATATAAAAATAAATTGATTTTTTCCAGTAGTTTTTCTTTTCTATTGCAAATATCTCATATCTAACCACATGATGTAAATAAATTTGTAATATAAAAAGATTAGAAAATACCTTGCACATATAAAATATAAAACTAAATCATTTAAAAATGTATATATTTATAAAAAATGATTTAAAGGTCTGACTGTATTAATAATTTAGAATATTTAGTTATTAAAAATTATCTATAATTATTATATATTATTTAATATATTTTTTTTTAAAAAATCTTAATTAATAAATACTAATAGATACATAAATTGAATTATTATAATATAATATAATAATCCATAAAGATTTCAATTTTTCTAATTTTATCAAAAAATCAAAATAACATTTATCAGATAAATTATATCTATAAGCAACAATTCTTTAATATAAAAGCATGTATAAGTAATTAAATATATATTATTGAATATATTCAATAATACAATGACTTTAATTGTTACTCAGTAATGGATAATTTTATTTAAAGAAAATAATGGTTTAAAACGTGGTTACGATGAATTCGAATGCGCCCTTTTCTAAAGTCCGGTTCTAATGATGACGGTTTCTGAACTATGATTAAATGCAAAATCGAGAAAACAATATCATATCTCTAACAACGTGTAGCATATGTTTACAAATTACTATTTTTTAGTTTTATTCGTTTGAACAAAAGTTCTTACAAGCAGAAGTTGGATTTTATGCTATTATAATAATTTAATAATATTTTTTTACATATATGTATATACATGCAAAATAGTTCACTATACTACTTTACTATGGAAATTTTTACAACATTGTATCAGATAATTTTTTTTTTTTTTTGCTTTCATGATCACTAGAATAATCATCCGAACTACGAAGAATTATCAGATTTATCACCGGATCCGCTCCTTTTAGTGTTCAGCTTTTTAAATAAGGATTTCTTCTTTCTTTTCACCTAAGAAGTAGCAGTTGATGAATCAATGTTGTCATCCTTGCCAACAATACTTTTTTTCATCTCACCTTCAGCATAGGATTCAACATGAGTACTACCTCCTTCAACGGTACGTTTTATAATTTTGCCATCTTCGATATAATAATATTCAGTACGTGTATATTCTTTAATTGTACCGTCTTTAATATAATATTCAGTATAAGTGTCATCTTCTTCAACATCATCTTTACTATCAATACGTTTTTTAATTTTGCCATCTCTTGTATAATATTCATTATGAGTACCAATAGGAAAATTTTCATCATCACTAAAAGTACGTTTTTTCATTTTTCCATCTTCGGTATAAAAATATTCAATAAGAGTACGCTTTTTAATTTCACCATCTTCAATATAATATTCATTGTAACTATCTCCTTCGCCATTATCAGTGTTCTTTTTAATTCTACCATCTTCTGTATAATATTCGGTATGAGAGATAGTATAATATTCAGTTTCATCAACACCATCCTTACCGACGGCACGTTTTTTAATTTTATCATCTTCGGTATAATAATATTCAGTACGAGTACGTTTTTTAATTTCACCATTTTCAATATAATATTCGGTATAAATATTATCTCCTTCATCAACATCCTTACTGTCAGTGCGTTTTTTAATTTTACCACCTTGTGTGTAATATTCAGCATGAGTACCAATAGAATAATGTTCAGCTTCGCCACCATCCTTAATAGTACGCTTTATAAATTTACCATCTTCTGTATAATAATATTCAGTACGAGTACGTTTGTTAATTTCACCATTTTCAATATAAAATTCGGTGTAAATATCATCTCCTTCACCATCATTGGCGTGCTTTTTAATTCTACCAGCTTCTATATAATATTCTGTACGGGAACCAATAGAAAAATATTCAGGTTCACCAACTCCTTCACTTCTGGTACGAATTACCAAACCACCACCGCTACTCGTCGAATATTCCGTGGTTTCAAAGGTGTATTTATTTTCAATTTCACCTTCACTTACATCATCTTTTTCGTCAGATACTGATAAAGTTTTATAACCAGTGACAATTTCTCCATTATCACTTGTTGTATAAGATGTATGTTCTCTTCCACCAGTTTCTGATGTGATACGAGTAATAGTGCCAATTGCGGTATTTTCTTCCGTTCTGTCCCCTCCTACAGTACTTTGTAGTTCGTCTTGTTCTCGACTCGCTTTACCGAAATCTCCTATATCACCAGTTTGAGATTTATGATCAAGATCACCGCCATAATAACTAGCAGCTCCTACGATTACTGTCGATTTACTTGCATCATCATTTTTACTATTAACAGGAATCTGAGAAGTGACCTGTTCTTTTTCAGAGGATACTATATTCGTTTCGGATGATTGAGGCTCAGCAGGTCTACCAACATTACCATACTCAGTAACTCCTCCAGTTTGACGATCAGTGGTAGTATCAGTGATAGGTGCCTCTTCATTGTTTGATCTGTCCTTTTCACTTTCTTCCAAACTACTTGTATCACTACCTAATTCATCATCTTTTTCTATTGTACTTGTCATAGATTTATCAGGTTTATAAATAAATATTAAATAAATAGACGTAATTATTTTAAAAAAGAGTACTATGCATGCTGATGACAATGCCAATATTGGTATAATTGCTGGTATGACTGTGTATCTTTGATATAATGAATAAATTATTAGTTGTGGAAGATCTTCAATTAATACTATAATCATAGCATATTTCGAAATTTCTTTTAACCCTGAATCCGTGAATCTTGCATTTAATAAATCTTGCCCACCACATTTTGATGATACAAAATTCAATGCTTCCAAATATATACTTGACAAAAATGTGAAACCTAATGCACTTCTAGAAAATTTTTTCCACCATTTTGTAAATGAGGACGATTCTTTTAATTGTTTACTAATTATAATTAACGCAATTATCGCATTAAATAATAATGGTATTATTAAAAATACGTAACTATCAGAGGGAAGGTATAAACGTATTAGAATATACGAGTTACAGTTTCACGAAAAATTGTAGGAAATAAATTAATTATAAATAAAACAAACCAGCAAATGTTGAACCAATTTCGATCACGTCCGTGTACTGCTAATACTATGATATCCAAAAAGAAATCTATTAAAACAAGTGGGAAAAAGAAAATTGCCAAGAAATTCCTTCCTTTCTTGTACTTTCTCATTGCAAAGATCCAAAATATTGATAAAATCAATAATCCAAATAAAACTCCCAATAATATCCATCT